CCAAAACCCTGTGGCTGTGGCACTCGAGGACACGGCTCAGGGGTGAACATGGTGCTGGTTGCTGGCTGGACTCGATGACCTCAGGGGTTAACACAGGCCATGGCATCCCAGCTGCCAGTCCATTATTCCATAGAATATCTCTCCAGTCATGAATAAAGTTCAAATAAAGGGCAAACCTTGCACAGCAAAACAAATTAGTTGCACGAAGACATTTGCATTCCCAGCAAAATGACTAAATAAGCAGGGGCAGGATGAATGCAAATGGATTCACTGCTGATACACTGAGAGCAAAACTCACGCCCCAAACAGTAAATGCCACGTCCCCACTGCTGAAAGCACAGCCTGCAGAGCCCTCCTCCAGCCCAGGGACCTGCAGCAAATATTAACAAATGGTATAAAAATTATTGTACCTACTCATAAATCCTATGCTTTTCCAAACAAACAATATCCAAGCTCTCAAAGGTAACAAGGATTGTCCTCCCAGCTACGGGAGATCCCAAAGGTACCTCGGAAGTCACAGATCAAACTCATTTAGGCAGCAGCTCTTTCTGTTTGGAGAAGGTCACCCAGCTTGTTCGGCAAAAAATGTGCATTGTGACCTCTGTGACCAAAACCATCCCTCAGTCACATCAGAAAGAGTGAGACCAGAGCCCAAACTGGCATCAGCAATTTGCAGCAGGGAAAGGTTTAAACAAGTTTAACAAGGACTATTCTGCATTTTAAAGCCAGTAAGAAATGAGCCTGTACAGACCTGTATACGTATAAATATATGAAATGTGGTTTTCTTCCACCAACCCCAAACAAAAGAAGCATTAGGGGTGGGTTTTTTTCCAGCCATACAATTAATGGATTTAAGATCTCAAAATCTGAAAGAAGGGCAAGCTCCAGACATTTATTCTTATGCCCCTATACTTACTATATGTATATATAATTTATGGGATTGCTTCATTGGCAGGACCTGTCAAAAGGGCCTCCCCAAAAAAGAAAAAAAACCTTAAATATTTCCATGAAAAAACATGGAAAAGCACAGACCCCTCAGCCAAACAGCATGCAAGTGCTGTTTTGGTGTGGGGTTTTTTTTCAGTTTTCCCACACACTTGTAGTGACCTGACTGAGGTTACTGGGCTTTACATGCTTCACCCAGACTTTTTGGCTTGTATTTCTGCAGCTGCTGCCCAAAGAACTTACACCAGCCAAGTCAGGAAAGTCCAGCAGCATGGATTGTGGAGTGCATCTCCACTGGGAGCTGAAGAGGGAGGAAGTGTGACAGAGGGCCTTGGAAAACCCTTTGTAATGCAACCATGATCTGCCCCATCATGAATCCCGTTTTTCCAGGGAGATTCTGATTGGCATCAGCAGTTTCCCCAAACAGAACCATCAGGATGCCCAATTTCAGGTCCTTTCTGGCAATTCCTGAGATTAACATGGATACATCCCTAATAAAATACAATGGGTTTCCTCTTAAACCCACAGCACAACGAGCTGAGAAGGCTGACTTGGAGATGGGACCTGGAACCAAATTTGCACTTTATTCATTATCTAGTTGTCTCCAGGTGTAGCTGCTCTCCCCAGAACCAGCTCTGCTGGGCACACACAGCTGCTGCTCCAGCCACACACTCAACAAAAACCACATTAACTCTTGTTTCCTCAACAGCTTTCTCTGCTTACTCTGGATTAACCTTTTTTCCTCTATATAATCAACCTGATCTCTTCCTTTATGGAACAACAAAACAGCAAAAAAGCTTTAAAATTATACAAGAAATGTTATTTCTGGGAAGAAAAAAAAAATAAAGAGTTTTTCTGAGAGAAATAAGTTTAGATGGGATTTCGGAAGGAATTCCTGGCTGTGAGGATGGTGAGGCCCTGGCCCAGGTTGCCCAGAGAAGCTGTGGCTGCCCCTGGATCCCTGGAAGTGTCCAAGGCCAGGTTGGAGCAACCTGGGCTAGTGGGAGGTGTCCCTGCCCATGGCAGGGGGTGGAATGAGACCAGCTTTAAGGTCCCTTCCAATCCAAACCATTCTGGAATTCTATGCAGGAAGCCCCACTGGCATCAGGTGGTACAGACAAGAGGGGACTTGCTTAGTCATGCTAAAAAAATTTATAGTAAGAATTCTACAACTGCCTAAATTACACCCACAAATCTCACACACATGCTTTGTCACCAGAAAAAAAAAGAATTACTACTCCCTTGACTTTCTGTGGATCCGTTTTTGCTCCTGAAAGGAAGCACTGTGGTGGCTGCTGCAAGTAACTGGAGCAAAGCAAATTTTCTTTGCTTTTGCTGATTCAGGCAGAAGCTGAGCTGATAAGTACTTAAGAAACTATGGGAGCACTAAGTTATTGTTAGAGACAAGGAGGAAATTATGGGTTGAACAGGGGGATTTGTGCTTTTTAGGGAGGAACGAACCCAGTGAAGCCGTGCCAGCTGTATGGAGCCAGTGGATCACAAACCACGATCAGACACTCAACAATTCATGTAAAATCTAAACGCAGCCCTTCCTCTCCATTCCTGTTTTAACTGTTCCGTGCTCTCCTTCCCTTTTCCCCGGTGCCTGCAGAGACCTCTTCTCTCCTCTTCCCAGCTCGTGCCCCCTCCCCTGACACACACTTACCTGTGATCCGTGACACCGTGTGACACCCGTGTCCTGTGCTCTCCTCCGGGCAGGAATTCCGGGAAAGGATCCCTGTCTGCTCTAGAGAACCGGGCTGCTAATTAGCACGTGCCTTTCCTGCAAGAAGCCCAAAGGCTTGAATTATTCTAAAAAGTTTGCAACAGCACCCCGAAGTATCCAACTTAACTAAGCATTTTTTTTTTTAAGCAGCTATTTGTTACTAACAGGCACACACCACAGTAATTCCTCCCCCGGAGGTGAATCTCTAACCCACTTACTGGGACTAATTTGAGCGCCAGACCCACCTGACCCCACAGCTGACCCCGCTGTGGCTGCCCGTCAGTGCTGGGCTGCTGGGTGCGCCCGTGATTTCTATTCATTGCGTGTTATTCACGTAGTACTAGGTGGTTTTTAATGTATTATTCGAGTAGCTTGCCTTGTTTCCCACTTGGAACTACGAGACCTTACTACTGAACTTTCCAGCCAGGACAGGCTTCCAGCGCTCTGATTAACCCCCGTATTTAACACGCGGTTACA